TTTGAGTGCTTGATTTTTGCAAGCTTTGCCTTCAAGCAGTTGAAAATTTACGTGGGTCCTCTATTTTTTCGAACAGTTGAGAAGCTGAGTTGTTTGAGTTAGCTGTACACATGAATAAAAAAGGCAAGGAGTTCTGAGAAACGATTGTTTAGTATCAACTTGTCATAAAGTCCCTGGCAACAAGTATTTTTTCTTTTCCTACAAGAGAGATCTTTTATTTACTATAAGCGGAAATAGACTTTCACGTACTGCAATCTTCGATATGTTTTCCTATGCAAGGTTTATAACGTTGAATCCTATCACTAACCCATACTGATTTATTTGTTTTAATAGCACACTTTTATCAAGGCTTTTTCAGTTACACTAGGGCTCACTGATGTGGAAAAACTAAAGGATTATTTCCTTTTAGGGAAGAATTAGAGTCCTTTAAGCAAGCTTGGATCAATTTGTTAATCATTACTTCTATTAATTTCCTAAATTAATAGTTGATCATATTTATGTTAGAAAATTTTGCTGCTTTAAGTCTACTGGCACTTCATTATACAAATAAATTCAAATTTTCTAAACTCTCTTACTCAGAAATATTCAAGTCCTCAAAATGCCCAGTAACTGAATAGGGAAAAAACCTCATTTGTATCAAAGTTTGATTTTTGTTATACACATGCAGTTACACTTTTTCTTTCAATAGAAGTACTTTGTTACTTTGTACTTCCTTCTCCTCGCTTGGTTTTTCAGGGTGGAGCTGTAATAAAGTGTGTGTGATTTGTTCTGCTACAAACCACGAGTGTATGTTAACTATGTGTGTAATCCAAACGTTTAACATGCTAAAAATACATCTGTCAAGTTAAATAGTATTATACCCTAAAAGGAAAGATGTACAGTACATCTGGTCTTTAGACAACTTAGACAACCTGAGGCCTTTTTTATGATTATTATTCCCTTTCCTTTTTGGCAGGAATGATACTTTAATGAAACCCAGTACTTATCCTGAATTACTTATCTTTATCTTGGGGTTCACACTTTAACCTATCTGTGTGACCTTAAAAGGAAAAGTTAAATCATACTATTCACCATCTTTGTCAATGTAAATGTATTGTTAAATCTGAAAACTAAAATAATTTTTTCAGTAGTGATGAATGTTCTTTCTTTCCATTGTAAAAATCTCTTCACAAAGCGAGCAGTTTGTGTATTTATTTTCATTTAATGGCTTGCAAATGCTTTCTGGGTGATGGAGTACTTGCAACCAAATGTTCCCTTAACATTTAAAACCAAACTGTCTCACTTATAAACTACAAACAAATGAAAATGAGATTGGCATTTTTGCATCTCCTTAATAAAATTACTTGATACATTTAAGTTTTTTAGCAAGATAGGAAATGAAGTCAGAAGCATGCCCCTAATAGGTGAAAAGAGGAAGGTCAAGTGTTAGGTCATTTCTTCTGGTCTCTACTTTGTTCTGTAGTATTAACTAGTCCTGATTGTATTTTCTCTTAATGTTATTTTAATCTATGCCATAAATGGGGGACCATGCAGCTGCAAAGTCTGCACATACCAAATCTGATGAAGAGCATGGAATTTGTTTAAAATACTTCAAACACCAGTCATCTCTCACAAGAGGATTTAGAGTGGGAGTAAGGGTGCTTGTGTACAGAAAGTATAAGCAAGGAGAAGGAAGGGGAAAACTTTTAATTTACTCTAAATGTATTACTTGAAAGGTGGAGTGCATCTCCTGGCTAAAATGTCTCAATGTCCACCATCTTCCCTACTGTAATCAAGTGGTATAGTGTGATTGGTGGGTTTTCATTTTTAGGGTAAGTTTTAGCTTTGCTTTACAGGGATGCAGGGGATTTTCTAGTGTACAGATGTTACAGAAGTTCTGGGAACCTTTCTGGACTAGATATCTGTTGCATGTCTGCCTGCAATTGCAGGGTCTAGACTGGGGTAACCCATGCTGTCTTTTTAGTTCTGTATGTCTAAAATTCATAGTTCACCTTAGGATCTGTGGCCACTGTTAAATTACAAATGATTAGAGGAGAAAAGATCACAATATTGACCTTCTCCTCCCCCTTTCTAACATGACCTGCATTCCCATCATGCTTGTGCAGATTATATACTGCTTATATATCTTATATATCTGTTCACGCATAAAGCCCTCTTCTCATTATTTACATGATCTTAACTTTTTTAGTGTTTTTCACTGTAGCAGCTAATGAAATTATACATCTGCAGACAATACAGTCAGCATATGTCAAACCATTTTAAAGTAAATTCTGATATACTGTGTGAGTTATTTGCTAAGTTTAGCTAATGGTTCATGCTAGCCATTATCAGTTATACACCAAGCTGTTTGACCACTAGGCTGTGGCAGGGAGCATGCTCTGACACCCTGGGTAGCCAAAGGAGGGTTCAAGGTATAGGTGTGTGCTGTGTATGAAGGGGTGATTTGTAGCATGAGTTCCCTTACTACAGTTTTCTGATTCACTATATGTAGCGGTAGTAATGGTGGTCCAGATTTTAAAGGAGGTTGCCAAGACATATGCAGCCAACATCCCTGACAGGCTTGCACAGACCACAATTTCTCTGTGTCTTGAAGAATATATGTAGTACTGGCCTCCTTGTTTCCAAATTTATATAGTAGAAAAGGGAAAGAAAAATTTGGAGACAATGAGAATGATCAGACAGGGAACAGCTCTTATACAGGGACTACGTGAATAGGCTGGGTGTCTTTGTTCTGGAGAAGAACAAAGACATGGGGGAGAGACTGAGCGGGATTTGACTGTATTTCCCAATACAAAAACTAGGGGCCATCAGATGAAGCTTGGAAGCCAGACTGAAAACAAACAGAAGTAGGAGAGACCTCAGGGTATGAGTCACAGATCTGTTGATTTCTTTTTTAAGGGATTTTGTGGATGTTGAAGGGAAGACTTAACAAATACGTGAAGGAGATCCACTGAGGATGAATAAACAGTCAAACCACGGGGAATCCCTTGTGGTCAGAGGCTGGTATGTCCTTCTGTGGTTCTGCTGAATCCATAAGCTATCAGGTACGGCTGGGGACAGGCAACTGGGCTAGATGGCCTTGTGGTCTGAGTCACAGTGGCCATCCTGACCCTCGTCCAAGCATTCATAAAGATTGCATAACATTGTGAACATCTTGACCATGTGGAAAGATCCAGCATCCTCTTGTTCTTCTTGGGCTTGCAAGAATCCCTGTGAGTGAGATAAATCTGTGAGAGATTGTAGTTGTAGTTTCATAGCTTGTGGTGCCAGTTTTGGGACCTCTGTCTTCTTCTGAGTCATCTGCACGTGTGGCAGCAGCTCTAGAGCATTGAGTGCCTGGCTGCCTGCAGGTAGTCAGATGTGTCCTGTTATCGGGTAGTCAAGCACTTGGAAATACATTTGTATGTGTCTGATTCATACAGTGCCATACACATCTGGAAGAAGGGCCCGGGACAAAAAGCAGCGTGTGAGAAGTTTATGCACTGCCTCAAGGCCTGACACATGTAGTCTTGCTTGCTGCTTCTGTGAGTGAGAGTCAGCTCTGGTTTGCCAAGGGAGTTTGACTGTCACGCTTGGACATTCCCCTAGCATCTACCTATATGTGTGTATGTTTTTAGTTCATTTTCAGTCAGAGGTGGTTGGCTGTGAGTCATCATTTCACTGACCAGTTAAATCTCGCTGAGCCAGTAGGTATGCGTTTTCAGACCAAGAGTTTCACTTACATATGTTAATGCTTCCCCCTTCTCAAGAGTAATAGAGCCAGTTTTCCATAGGACTGTGTCAGGGCACTCAGCCATAAGGGAATTTACAGGGTGTGCTGTATCTGCTATAGGAGACAGAATTTCTAGCCTCTGTAGTCTCTGGTATAGGAGCTGTGCTCACAGCGTACCTTAAGAGTGAACATCAGCTTGTTGCAGTCAACCTTGCATAGTACAAGAGAAGTTCCTAGGAGAATGGTTGTAGTGAAGTGAAATGAAAACTAGAGCTGACCTGGCCACGCAAAGAGGAATCCATACATCTTCCCAGAACATTTTCACCCAAGCTATTGCAATATTTAAGCATGGAGCAGTTTTGAGTGGGCATCTATGTGTAGATTAGTTCTTTGCTCAGAAGTTCTATCGTCTTCTGAGGCAATGTTGTAGTAGCAAGGAAAGCTCAACTGACCCATTTGTGTCCTGACTCCTTAACTGAATTTTCATGGGAATGACATAGCGTGTTGTGTCATGACTTACATGTGTGTGTGGGACAACACAGAACTGTTCAGTTACCCCCACCTCCTTTTTTTTTTTTTTTTTTTTTCCCCCCTCCATTGACAGCGGACTTCCTTAGGAATGGACAGCTTTCTAAACTGCCCAGATTAGGCATTCTCCTCTGCCTTCACGGTAGAAGTCCACTTCCTAGGGGGTATGCTATGACTTTAATACAATTTCTCTGTAGCCCACTCTGCTTTATACCAGGTAAGAATCTAGCTTGGTGGTTAACTGAAAAAGTAACTGTTGCAAATACTTGCTTCATCCTTACCATCCCCAGTCATGCTGTTGTAAAACTGCTCTTCGGGAGAGTGACATCTAAAAGTGAGAAGAGCTTTTGGTCATCTGGGAGGGTCTGTACACAATTCTTGACAGACTCACAGGGGGATTGTGTTGGGTCTTGGTCTGAGAAAGACCCAGAAACTTGTGAAATGTGGTGGTTATGTCTATCTTTGTTAGAAGAGGCACTAAGTGTCTGAAATTTAAATAGCTAAAATCTTTATCTAGGGGACAAAAGGTTGGTTTATCTGTAAAGTAGACCTCTGGTTTTGGGCAACTGAAATCTCAGGACTCCTGATATGGGGTACAAAACAAAAACCTGAAAAAAATCAGTTACTTTACAAATACAAGACTGACTTTTGATTCATTTTCTTTTGGAAATGCAATGAAAATACTGTGATCTAGAGCACATAGGTGTGGGAGACAGCTATATGAACAGTATCTATCTTATAATTTCTACCTTTTTATTAGGTTGCCACTAATGGGATTATTGCAGTGAATGAACCTTCAAGTGAAGAAAAATATCTTGGTCAATTCCCAGTCAGTTTTGGGGCTATTGCTCCATTTATGGCTGATCTGGACACAACAGATGGACACGGAAATGTGTATTACAGAGAAGATTCATCCTCAGATGTCTTGCAACTTGCATCAGACTATGTCAAAAGTGGTTTTCCTGAGACTACTTTTGATCCCACCAGCGTTGTCATTGTTACCTGGAAGCTCGTGGCCCCTTACCAGGCAGCTGGAGAAGATCATGCTTTGGAAGAAAAGGTGAATGTTGATCAGAGCTTTAAGGCATGTTGGACACATGTTCAGCGGAAATGTAACACCGTAACCTGTGGTTTTGAAGGCTTCAATTCCTTTGTGTTTAAATGAATCCTGTACAGTTAAGAATGCATTATATTGTTGAAAAGGCTGTAGCAAAATAGGAGTTTCCAGAATTTTTAATTTATTTTTATTTTACAGTATTTTATTCATTCAAAAGAAAATGCTTGAATCTATATAGCTGATTTCTTTGTATTTCTTGACAAGTCTAACTTTGAATGTTAAGTGTGATGTGATAATAACTGAAGTAGTAGGATATCCTGCCCTCCATCTGTGCAATATAATCCAGTTGGCTTGCATTTTTCAACAGACTCTTAAGTCATTTTGACATCAAACTATGCAAAATCTAATTGGTATATGGACTAATAGGAACTTCAGATTGGGAATCCCTTTTTGGACAGATGACATTGCATTCACAAAAAAGTCATGCTTTGTATTGAATGAAGAAGCAGTTAGAGGTTATTTTTTGCATTACTTGCAAACCATTTCCCCTTTTTAAACCATGTTAGGTACTATCCTGCAAAGATATGTAACTTTATGCACCATAGTTATCCCAGCTCATGAGCCTCTTCCCAATGTATAAAGTTGAGAACATTACCACAACTTTAAAAATCTTATTTTTTTCAAAGATTAATTTCTTGTGCCTAATGACACAACCATTGTGTTCACAGTAAGGATTCTGCACTCCGGTAGCAACAAATAGCTGATGTCTGAGGTACTGTCTTGATGGTTCCTACAGTACGTAGGAGTGTTCCAACAGGAAAAGACGCTTGCAGCAACATGAAACTTGAACTCTTCTTTAAATATGCTGTTTACAGAATTTTTTCTATTTAGTCTAGCACATCAGTTTTCATTTTAAGGAGATGATACAGCATCCTATGCATGTTACAGAACTTAGAAATTGTTATGTTTTAGGCAGCCTCTCTGGCCCATTTCCTAACAGATTAACTTATCTTTGATAATGCTTTCTTTTTAGTGTGTGTGTGCATGCTAAAGCTAAAACTGCCTTAACAAAACATAAGCTTTCTCCTAGGAAGTACATGATGCATTATGTGTGATGGAAATTCTGATTTTGACTTTGTGTTTAAAAAAAAGTTATTCTGCTGTCTGTCTTGATTATTTTTCCGTGAGTAAATGGATGTTAAATTTTCTCCACAGAGAAACACGTTCCAGGCTGTTTTAGCTTCTTCTGATTCCAGTTCCTATGCTATTTTCCTTTATCCAGAAGATAGCTTGCAGTTCTATAGTACATACTCCAAGAATGAAGACGGAAAGATTCCTGCTATGGTTGGCTTTAGTCAAGCCTCTACAAACTACTACTTTTGGGAAAAGCCAGGATCCTACAATGTCATTGCTAATGACGAAGACAGCATTAGAAACCTGCACAAGTATGCTTTTTTGTTTGTTTAAACTCCTTGAAAAAACATCAAGGAGTTCCATGTTTTTCTTAATTGTAGCATGAGTCAATGAGAAATAATAAGATCCCGTGAGCCACTGCATGAGAAATCACAAAGCCTGCCACTGATAAATATCCAGCCTCTTGAGGAATATAAGGACTTTAGTCTAATTTATCAATAGTCCTTAATTCCGTTGTCACTGGTAGGAACTTCTGTATACTTAGCCCTTCTAAAAATAGGATAACTTAAGACTTTAACTCTTTATAGTCTATCCTGGGCAGTCATTTTTTGAGAGAAAAAGTCAACAAGAAGGAAAGGGAATGAGTTAGAAGGTTCTAGTAAGTGTTAGCAAGATCTTTGTGGCCCAAATATATCCTTCTGTTCCCATCACTTTGGAGACAAGAAGGCTAGAAATTCTGAAGAAGAGATCTCTGAGTGTGGAGAAAAAATGCTATCCAAACTGTCAGGGATGTCTTATAGCTGAATAAACTGTACCTGTAGATAAGTATGTAGATAATTCGGCAGTTTTGTCCTGATATTTCTCAGTGAAGAAAGGACAGTTTGTGTAGGCTAGAAATACCATGCAACTGTGCTGATGTTTTTTATTTGGCATATGCTTCTCTTTGATAGAAGCAGCAATGCTGGGAAACAAGGTGTCTGGGTGTTCGAGATTGGTAGCTCATCTGACAGTATTGTGCCTGCCAAGATCAGCAGTGTTTTGGAGAGCCTAGAGTCCAATGAACAAGACCAGGAGATTACTTCAAAACCATTTATGTTAGACTATGGCTCTACTGAAATAAGACAGCAGTATGTTACCAGCAGTACAGACAGCGCAGAAGAGGATCAGCACCACATTACGTATAGTGTTCCTCAGTTAGCTGCAGAAGACTTTCTGACTTCATACCAAGATGTAACTGGAACACCTTCGACTGAGTCTTTTTACAATCATCAAGATTTCCCAACAGCAAAAGCTCCACCTCACCAGTTCCACGTCCAGCAGTTCCCCCCACAGCAACCCCAAGTCATTGATGTGGAAGAATTTGATGAAACTGGTATAGGTAAGGTCTTTTGTACAGCTTGGGTACTTCTAAGATGGATAGGCTGCAAAAAAAGAGGTGTGCAAGAAATTGAGCTACTAAAGAAATAATCTGTTTCCTTCTCACTACCTTCATATCTGAAAATCTGGACACATTTAATAAGTTTGCATTATTCATCAAGGCAGTTAACTTGGATGTTACTTCAGATTCAGTTCTCACCAGTCTGGAAAACTAGTGCCCCAGTCAAGCTCGCAAGACAGCACATTTAGAGTGTGTCTGTGGAATCTAAATCTCTAAGGAGAGCTTCCTGTAGGGATAATTGTATTTCTAAAGCTGACAATTTCTTAGCAGCAACTGATTTCCCCTTCTCTTTTGCCCAGGACTGTTAAAGGTATGATCTTAAGTTTAACAGCTGCATTAAGTGTCTGTTCCTGGTAAGGATTTTATAATCGGTTCTACTGAAACCTAGCTTATTTCCTTTCATAGATGTGTTACTGAATACAGGTCATTTAACAAAGGTTGGGAGTAGTAACTGCAGTAATAGTTGTTGCTAGGTTTTCATGGCCTTAAGTTTTACAAGGGTGGGATTAGCGGTTCTAACTTCTGAGGAACTGTTTGTAGAAAATTCAAAACAGTGTGACTGACTACCCAGATGTTAATTGTTTCTTAAGGCAGATGTGAGAATTGCTATCTCTATGAAATAATAGGGTAAACCAATTAGGATTACAGGGTGCATCAATTGGTTCACTGTCCTGGGTACCATACTGATGTGTTTTGTTCTGAATTTGGAAAGGGTCCTTTTTGCTTTGGCTTGGAAATAAGGACAGGTTAAAATTATTGTGTATTTAGTTTCACTGAGACAGTTCAACTGATGTGTATTAATATAGATCTGCTGAAGTCAATAGAATTAAACAGTTTTCAAGCATCTGATGCCCTTGTGTTTTCTGCGAAATAGTAGACTACTTGCATATTGTAAGGCTAGCAAAAATCAATTGCAAATATTTATTTTCCTTAAAGAGAAAACGAAAAAAAACCCTAATCAAGGTAGTCTAGTGATATTTTTAAACTAAACCAGGGATATGTGAATACTCTAGTAATTACATGAAGTATAAATGTCTGGTTTTATTTTCTACAGTGTTTCGTTACCACACAGATGTCCAAGAGACCTGTGCTAACAACCGCCACCGGTGCTCTGTTCATGCTATTTGCAAAGATTATCCCAATGGATTTTGTTGCAGTTGTATTGCTGGTTACAAAGGAAATGGCAGACAATGTGTAGCAGAAGGTAACTTTTTTGAAAATGAGGTACATATGCAGCAATTGCACATGGCATTCTTGAATGAGATGACCTGTTTTCAGTACTAAAAAAGACGTGGTTAAATACTTCTTGAAGGACTTAACACTGAGATATATTGAAAGGTATTTTAAGAAGTGAGCTACACTTTCTAAAATGGTGTGGTTTTTTTGAATGAAGCAAATTATTTCAGGCAGTCAATTATATGCAATATGTATTTTAACATGACTTGCTAGAAAAAAATAAATTCTTACGTAACTGACATAATTTAATAGATAGCGTAACATGCAGTGTTTATTGCTGGAATTAGTCTGGAAGTTCCAATGTGTTAGAATCTGATTTGGTCCCCACTCTAGAAAAGGACAGTTCAAAGGGGATGAACAAATTAACTTTGATGATCAAAGTAAAGAGCATGGCTCCTCTTTGTCTGACTCTTAAGCTTCTTTACTAAAGGGCTAATCTGCCAGATTTTTGTTAGATACCCATTTAAACTTTGTTCCTGTGTAAAATCCATAAAGGAATTTCTTATGTATACACTTGTAATCCTCATAGTGACTTGACTCAAGAGTATAGATGCATTTCAACAACTAAAATAGCTGACTGCAGACTTCGTGTTTTATAAGGCAGGAAAGCAAAACCTACTGCTTAGCTTTCAGTTCATAAAACTGAATTTTCCAGAGAAAGAAAAGAAGGATCTGATGATAATAGAATTTCAATTTGCAAGTAGTAAATTATATACAGAAGAAAACTAGCAATCCAAAGTAGCTGCTTCTGTAAAATACGGGCAAACTTAAATGGTCAATAGTTTTGAGTCAAGAAATAGAACAGGTTAGAACAGTAGGTCAGTTATTCTAACACCTAACGGTGTCAGCCTTCTAATAGGGAATGAACAAATTTACATTCGGTAGGTATTGATATGAAGTGTGATCTTCAAAAGAAGTTTCTATGTGCCAGTTACAGTCAGGGAGACTAACAGCTTAGTCTGTTTATAGAGTTATCCTTCCAGACAAAATTGTTAATTAGGATAAAGGGCACCTCTTCAGGCATTTTGGCCACTTAGTGATCTGTATAATGGCAACGCACACGCAGGCAGGCATGTAAATATGTAAGCAGTTTGTAGACAGTTTCCTGTCTATTGAATTCAGTGACCATTTGTTTGCTGTTTATTTCAACGCTAATACGTTTGAACATAGTGAATGCTCTGAACGCATTCCTTGGAGACTATGTGAGAAGTGTCGTTTTGTTCTGATGTGTTGTATTGATTTGCCAGGTTCTCCTCAGAGAGTCAACGGGAAGGTCAAAGGAAAAATCTTTGTAGGAAATAACCCCGTTCCAGTTATATTTGAGAACACTGATCTCCACTCCTATGTTGTGATGAACCAAGGGCGTGCCTACACTGCTATCAGCACAATCCCAGAGACTTTGGGGTATTCGTTACTGCCTCTTGCCTCTATTGGGGGCATCATAGGATGGATGTTTGCTGTGGAACAGCAAGGATATAAAAATGGATTCAGTGTTACTGGTAACTTCTAAATTAAAATAATGTTCAAAAGCTGTGCTATGCTTTCCTCTGTCTTGAGAGAAATGTGTATTTAGAAGCAATAGGGGGTGAAAACATGTTTATTCTGAGCTGCAAATAGATTTCTTTGTAATCAAACTTCTCACCATTTTTCTTGCAATGTATAGATATTGGGCTTTTTAATTTACCATCGGTGCACAAGCACGTAAGTCTGTTAGAAAGAAGAATGGCTTGGCCAGTTCCCATGCAAGAAAGAGATTATTAAAAAGGATCTGATTTTTGGTATGGAGCTGCTGGAAAAAAGCTGCCCCTGATCTGCAAGAGGTCTAACATGTTAATTGACTGATTGAACCAATGGAGCAAAAGAGAAATGAAAATCTGACCTCATGAAGGTTTGAAATTCTTAACAGAAGCAATTCCGGCATGAGATGCAAATGATTCAGTTAACTTATTTGAGGGAAATCCCAGTTCACAATTACAGCTTCTCATGAGAGTCTGAGGCCAAGTCTGATTGGTTGTGCACATGAATTCAATCCGTAGATCCAGTCTGTTCTAGAACATATGTTTCTTTTTAAAATTTTATCCTTTACAACCCTGTAGTATGAATTTAGTTGAACGTAACTTTTTGTTTTGGGGGTTTCTTGGATTTGGTGTGTTTGAAGTTTGTTTTGGAATTTGCAACATACATTTCACTTGGTTTTGATTTGGAACAGATGTACTGGATTTTTTTTTTTTTTTTTTGACTCTCTGTATTCCTAATGGAGGTTTTTTCTAAAATGCACAACTCCTTTGCCATTTTAACTGGTAGGATAGGCCTATTATTAGCTTTGTTGAATTTTTTTTTTTAGTTTAAAAACCCCTGCTTCTTCAGACTTACTTGCAACTTAGTGTGTTTAGTGCTTAAGCAAAGATAAGTTTCCTTGTGGTATCCAAGGATATTATCAGTATACCTCTGAAAGTTATTTCTGTAGAAATGCGAAATGTTAGCAATTATGCTGCATCAAAGCTTGCAGAAAATAGTAATTTATATTTTATCCACTAGAAGCAGTACTTTGAATAGAAGGATTCAGAAAGTGCTGTGAAGTGTTTTAACTAATACTATTTCTTTAGGTGGTGAGTTTACACGGCAAACTGAAGTAACTTTTGTTGGCAACAATGAGAAGCTGGTTATAAAGCAGAAATTCAGTGGAATTGATGAGCATGGTCACCTTACCATCAGCACAGAAATGGAGGGCAGAATACCTGAGATCCCATCTGGTGCATCCGTCCATATAGAACCGTACACTGAACTCTATCACACTTCTAGTTCTGGTAAGGTTCCCTAAGAATGAAATTATAAGAAAGTGCACATTTCTCAGAACAGAGAGTAAAACAATCTAAAAAACATTATTTTATTCCCTTCTCAGTGAGCAAAGTTAGGACCCTTCGATTTATAGAAAGTTGATTTTTGCCTCTTAGGAACACGTCCCAAAAGAAGGTGGATTTTGAGTGGGACAATGCAAATATTTCTGATCTTTTTATTGAAAAAAAAGTGCGAGTTTAACTTTCTCTGAACTGATGTTTGCAAAACACTCTCAATTTTCCTTTCCATTGGCCTTATTTTTACACTACTGATGGCAGTCATCCAAGTTGCAAAGCTTTTTGTTGAGTCCACAGCTCTTCAGTTAGGAGCTGTGCTGATGTATACCTTTTTGTGATAATGTTATTAAGTGGGCTTTGGTCTTGTCCAACGAGACTGTGCAAACCAGTTATTTACTGGTAAACTGCATTGCAATGACTGTGCCTTGTGTTAGTAACAAGCATTTTCAGTATTATTTGAGCTGAATTTGAGCAACTGACCGGAAAATTAGGAGCCTCATAATTGCCATATCCGTTTCCTCCGTTGTCTCTTCCGTACTCTCCTTTTCTCTCTCTCTTCCTTATCTCAGACTGTGAGATTTGGTAAGAGAGCCATTCTTCATTTCACTATTTACAGAGGATTCTCCCTTCTTTTGCTTTCCTCTTTCTGGATAAAATCGTGGGTGTTTCAACATAGCAAAAACAAAGTGAGGTGTGAGTGTTGCTGCTGGCCAACCAGCCCAGCTGTCAAAGACTAATAAAGAGGAAGCAGTCTGTGGTGCACTTAGGTGCACATGAATACTGGGGAGTACACTTTGTTCCAAGGGCACACTTTGATTGCTAGAGATAGCTGAAAATTGTGTTGTTGCATCATCACTGCCTTATATACACTTTGGTAGCCAGTGCTGAATCCCTCTTGCTGCTTTGCCTGTTGTAATGGACTGTGAGGAGGAGGACCTGGAGGCAGTAGGAAGCTTCTGTTTTGTGCTGAACAACTTCAGGAGTTGTTTGGGCAACATGTGCTCTGTAAAACACCTGCCTTCTTGGCATAAATGCTGTCCCCAAGGAGGACAAGTCAGGGGCTGGAAGGAAGGAGGTATCCTTCAGGCTGGATTTGATTTACCATTACTCAAATAGATATTCTTCTGCTGTCATATGGCATATCTGACAGACCACTACTTAGCAGAAATCCAGCTCTTGCCAGCTGTTGCAAGTGGATTGATACAGGTGTATTCTGGTGTCCATATGAATAGTGGAGTTCTGAGGAGCTTTCTGCTGGTGGGAGGATCTGCAAACCCAGATCTGCTTTGAAGAGTTTTGGTTCAATTTTTCACAATATAGAAGACTGTTGTGAAGCATACAAGAACTTTCAGACGTGCATCTTCAGGGCTCTATCAAAATCCAAGGCCAATAGACCACAATGAACTAAAAGTGGGTGTAATTTGGTGCTGGTGAGGTGGCTTTGTCCTTCTTAGCTTATAGATCCATCATGCAAATTCATCTAAAGAAAGCTCTGAGGTTCTTGAGTTGAATTTTCCTTTCTTTACCTGGTAGTCCACAAAGTAAAATATGTCAAGATAAATTAAAAAAATTATATGACTTATTCTTCAAGGCTGTGATACCTGAGCACAGAGTAAGCCTAGTCAAGTGCCTATTCCTTTGCATAGGAATACATCCACTTTCAGAGCTTCTTGCCTTTGAAATTTCTATTTACATTACTCAGCCTGTATCCCAAGTCTACAGATAGCATTGGGCATCTGTTCTGATCAGCGTGTTTGTTGCCATGTTGCAGTGATCACTTCATCGTCCACGAGGGAGTACACAGTGACAGAGCCAGAAAGAGATGGGGTTGCTTCCACGTACACTGGCACCTATCAGTGGCGACAGACCATCTCATTTGATGAATGCATTCATGATGACTCTCACCATGCTGCTTCTGCTACTCAGCAGCTCTCAGTGGACAGTGTGTTTGTCCTGTATAACCGAGACGAGCAGATTCTACGATATGCTATGAGTAATTCCATCGGCCCAATCAGTGGTATGTATGAATTGGAAATCTTTCTTTTTCTCTTTTGTGAGTAATTAAGAGCAGGCTTCTATTTTTTTTTTTAGCCTGCCTTAGCTGTTTTAAATTAATTAGTTACGTTAATTTGTTGCGTTAGTCAGTAGAAGTCTGGATCCATCAATTAAGAAGAGAAATATGACTGTTGAAAGTTTGTATTTTCGCATGGGAAGAGCATTTTAGTGATTATCTCCTCTTGAAATTCAGTGGAGTTTGTGTCTAATTCCTTGAAATACTCTCAACACACCACCTTTGAATCTTTTGCTGCTCAGATACATGGAGTCTATCGTTTATATTTACCAAATTTATAGTTCCTCTATTAATTATTTCTTTTTTTTTTTTTTTTGTATTGTCAGAGCAAAGGGCAAAAGAGCAGAATAAGATTTGCCATTGAAACAGCTAGTTTCTATAATTATCATGAAACATGGCATTTTATCTTTGGAAAGTAGGCAGCCTATGAAGTGTACTTTTTGGATGAGCTGTCCAAGTTTGTCTGTTTGCACTAAAATCAGAAAAAACATGAAGAAGCAATTTGAAAATGCACACCAGATGAATACAAGAAAAGACTGTGCTCACTTTTGTCTGTTACAAAGATAAAGTTCTACTAATTAAAATGAACAAACCAATCTCTCAAGAATTTGCAGTTTCAGTTTAATGTCAGCAGCTGGAAGATGCATTACCTTTGTCAGTCTTGCTCTTTAGAGATGTTTCTGTAGCTTCTCTATTTTTTAACTCAGCAGTCCTTTGCACAAATAACAAGGAATACAGGTACTATTGCCATGTCTGAGATTCATGTCCTGCATATCACCTGCAAGTTCCCTTCTTCCTGGTGCAAAAAGTATTCTCTTTCCTTGCTTCATGTGCACTGCAAGCAATCTTCTGGGCCTTATCTGAGTGCTATTACTTGGACAGATTCTAAATGTGGCTAAGTATTGTCTCTCTTCTCAGATGGTGCTGCTGATATTAACCGAAATCCTTGCTACACTGGTACCCATAACTGTGACACCAATGCATTATGTCGTCCAGGAACTGGCAGTCGTTTCTTCTGCGAATGTTCGATTGGCTTCCGTGGAGATGGAAATGTTTGCTATGGTATCAGAAAACTTTTATTACAAAATGACAGCAAATGTAGCATTTTGTTTGCTTGGAATGTATTGACCCTCAGGACGAGCCATTCCAGCAAAATGAGGCTGGGTTGGGGAAAGATAGGTTAGAGGGATGCTGAGGTAGCTGTCACATTTCAATAATCAAAGTAAGCAAGTTTGACTGTCTTGAAGGGTCAAACTTTGGTATGCTTTGCTAGCTTACAAAGCATCTGTCCTACCCAGTTCGTCCTTTCATAAAGCCTATGGGAACTTAGCTGTGAGAAATTTACTGTAATGCAAGTTCTGGTTAAAATGAGTCAACTAGGTTAAAAGTTCTTAAGGAAGATGAGGAATGGCGTGTGCACATGCATACAGAGTACAGATATGTGGAACCCATTGAAATAATCTTTTTCAAGATCTGCTTTGAAAATACCTTCTGTTCAAGGAGAGTTTTATTTCCCAGCTCTGTATTCTTAATGTATTTGGGCACAAATACTTGTCTTCAAGAGGTGAAAGTGTGTATTAATGAAATATACATCTTCCCTATTAGTTAACTGAGTTGTTTTTTAATAAAAAAACCCCAGCAAACCACAACCCTCCCCCCACTCCAGCCCTTAAATCAACTTGCAAATGAAAACAACATCACACTGACCCTCCCAGTTGTCTGGTGCTGTGAGTTGAACAGCAGTGGATTAGAGACGTATATGGAGAATGAAAGGGGAAGTCTTTCCTAAAGTTCATGCTCCCCCAGTAGTCATCACTGCTTCTGATCACCTTGTAGGCTGCATTTTCTTTCTCAGTGGCTCTTCCTCTCTGATTTCCCATCCCATCCCCTTATTATGGTTTGTTTTTGGTTTTGTTTGGTTTTGGGGTTGTTTTTTTTTTTGGTGCAGATTAGCTGAGGATACAGTTACCTGAAAACTTATTTTCAGGTTACTAACATCTTTTAAGAGGTATGGTCTATCCAAGATGTGGTTTAAATACTCAACCCTGCTATTATTCAATAGTTGCATGATTTCTGTTTTTCTGGCATTGGTATTAAATGCATCTTTGTAATAACTAGAATCCTTATAATATTCTAGATGTTGATGAATGTTCAGAGCAACCAGCTCTATGTGGCAGCAATGCAGTCTGCAATAACCAGCCAGGCACCTACCGCTGCGAGTGTGTTGAAGGATACCAGTTTGCAGCAGATGAGCGGACTTGTGTTGGTGAGTTTCATATTTCTTAGAAGTACTGACCACCTGCTTTCAGGCTGTGATTCATCTTCCACAGACAGGAAAAAGAGCTTTTAGGATCTGCACTGACTTCTAACATGAGTTGAATTTAGGAGTTCGTGCTGCAGTTAGTGATTATAATCCATTAGGTAACCAAAGAAGGTGCCTGAAGTACTTTGTTTTCATCTCATAAAAAATCCCCATTCAGAATGTTTCCAAGTAGGAAGTGGAAATGATTATTGAATGTTTCTGTCCTTTCTGTACCATTATTTAGCTGTAGATTTCACATGGAAGTAAAATTCAAATTTGTTAAACAAAAAGCGAGCCTTCATTTGTTGTTATTTCACAGCATCTCATTTTCAAGGTAAGACAGGACTTCTGCATTTTCTGTTATTGTGTGCTTTGGCATTTTGGGGGTTTGGGTTTTGTTTCTTTATTATGTCTAATCCAGAATTAGATGTAACATACTAGATTTTAGTTACAGATTCATCCCTTGAACGAGGCAGTGCACAAGTCTAAAACAGTGTGTCTAGTTAATCATGCTAAAAAGGAGTTGTAACTATAAATCATTTCACTGTTAAAATCTTTGAGATTTTGAGGAACTTTAGCTGGTTTGTTCATGGACCATTAAAACTTCAAATTCAGTAGCTGTCACTGAATTAGTTATTTTTATTTAATTTGAAAACATTTTTCTGGAGGAAGCCTGAGTTAATCTGTATTTGCTGGACAAAAGTTGTCCTCCTGCAGATTATTTTTTCCTGATTACTCTGTGTGTTAGGTTAACCCTGGCTAGAAGTCAGGTGCCCACCAGAGCCACTCTATCACTCTCCCTCCTTAACTAGACAGGCTTGTGGGTTGAGATAAGGACAGGGAGAGATCACTTACCAATTATCATCATGGGCAAAAGAGACTCAACTCAAAGGAAAATTCATCTAATTTATTACCAAGCAAAGCAGAGTAGAGCAATGAGAAATAAAATCAAATCTTAAAACACCTCCCCCCACCCCTCCCATCTTCCTGGGCTCAACTTCACTCCCGATTTCTACCTATTCCCCCCTCAGCGGCACAGGGTACAGGGAATGGTCATTGCGGCCAGTTGGCCACACGTTGTTTCTGCTGCTCCTTCCTCCGCAGGGGGAGGACTCCTCACATTCTTCCCCTGCTCCAGCATGGAGTCCCTCTCATGGGAGACAGTCCTCCACGAACTTCTCCAACATGAGTCCTTCCCACGGGCTACATTTCTTCACAAACTACTCCAGCGTGGGTCTCTCCCACGGGGTGCAGACCTTCAGGAGCAAACTGCTCCAGCGTGGGTCCACCACAGGGTCACAAGTCCTGCCAGCAACCCTGCTACATCCTCTCTCCACGGGTCCACAGGTCCTGCCAGGAGCCTTGCTCCAGTGTGGGCTTCCCACGGGGTCACAGGCTCCCTCGGGTGCCTCCACCTGCTCCAGCGTGGGGTCCTCCACGGGTTGCAGGTAGAATCTCTGCACCCCATCATCTTTCCTCCATGGGCTGCAGGGGAATCTTTGCTCCAGCACCTGGAGCACCTCCTCCCCCTCCTTCTGCACTGACCTTGGTGTCTGCAAAGTTTCTCACATCTTCTCACTCCTCTGGCTGCAAAAGCTCCCCCTAGGTTGTTTTATTCCTTCTTAAATATGTTATCACAGAGGCGCTACCACTGTTCACTGATGGGCTCAGCGGCCAGTGGCAGGTCCGTCTTGGAGCCGGCTGGCATTGGCTCTATCAGACACAGGAAGCTTCTAGCAGCTTTTTGCAGAAGCCACCCCTGTAGTCCCGCTCCCCGCTACCAAAACCTTGCCACACAAACCCAATACACTCTGTTTTTCACTGAAGCTGTAGAAATTCCATTTGGTAGCTGACAGAATTGATTGTGTGGGATGTGTATTGAAAGTGAGTTTTCCATATAGAAAGAAAAACCATGAGCTTTACCTTTCACAACATTAAGCTGATTCTTTTGGATGTCAATTATATCAAAAGCTAAATAAATGAACAAACAGCAGATAGAAGAGGGGTAATGGCTCTACTGCTAGATTCCAACTGTCAGGATAGGATATAGATTAGCTTTATTTTTTTTTTTAGTTATAATTTTTATCTTTGTTTGCCACCTGACAGTAATTCTGTGCTGACAAAACCTGTACACACTCTTCCAGGGTGGACCAGTTCCTGTTTCTTTTGGCAGTAACTGATAACAGCTGAGGATTGTTGCTTCTGTCTTGCCTGCTTTGTGGTGGAAGCTTAGTTACCTTTTCCTCATTATATCTGAGACTGTTCTTCTGCTAAGACTGAAGAGCCTTCATCTTACAGCAGAAAGTTGCATTACTAAAGCGTGTGACTTTGCATGCTATGTGTTACATTCCATCAGGAGCCCCATTTCTCTGCTCCAGTAAGAATTACCATTTGCATCCACTCACAGTGCACCCTAGGTCTTCCCTTTGTTGTAGAACAGTTGGAAAAAGTAACTTCTTCTACCAGGACACTGGAAGGGACAGGGTGAGATGTGGAAGACAGGCTTTATGTTCTTTCCATTATGTCCACCACTGCCCTTCTGTCACTTGGACCTGAAAGGCAACATTCTTCCCTCCAGCCATGACCTTGCTGGCTTCACTCTGCCACTTTCCCATGAAGTTGATGCGTCACACTTCTAACAAGTGCGAAGTAATTCTTTGCCCAGCTTGAAGGACTTCAGTTTGTTCCCGTCCTTCAATTAGAAACAAACTTTGCATCTGTAAGACTGAAGAGAGGGAAGATGAGCTCTAGTTTCCCAACAGATTGAAAATAAATGTCATGGTAATCTTGTTCCCCTTTCCACAGGTGAGGGTTTTACAGTCTACAACTTGAACCCCAGGAAGAGCAACAGCTATGCTCTTTGTGCTTTTGCAGCTTGCTCTGGGATACCAGCTCTGACTCAGCTTTTCTGGAACTGCAGCTTTTTCATACCATCTCTGTGACTCACTAGATAGCTTAAGAAGAGAGTTGTAAATAAACCCTGTTCTCCTATTTGTAGGCTGAGGAATAGGAGGACTTGAGGACTCCCTTCGAGCTCCAACTCCAAATTGTATGCATTTATAATGCAGTTCTGAATGGATTTTTTTGTAATCTAAAACTTCCTTCATCAAACAGAACAGATATAAATGATTCTATCTGATGTCAATGATGTCATCTCCTCTAGAGAAATGGGAAAAAAGACTGTTTTCAGATCTGGCCTAGATGGCGGATTTTTGTTATTTCCCTGCCGATACTGTAGTAGTTTCCATCTGTGTACTGTGATGAAAGGAGCATTGTAGAGTCTCATCTTGGTCCCCTGTCAACTCCTCATAAGAACTGCATAAAGAAAGCCTCAGTGGACTCTGTTACAGCAGCTGGAAGGCTGTTCCTGGATGTAAGCACTGCAAACTCATCTATTTCCAGGCCCAAAATTGTTGTAGTATTTTGCCTCTTCCTATCTGAGATACCATGGTTTCCTTTCCTCTTCTCTGACATAACAGGCAAACATAGGCAGGGCTCCAGCAACTACCTGAAATAATTTGTGTGTAAAGCAGTGCAATGCCTTCAGAGTCACTGCTGTCAACAATAAGAAAGTTATGAAAAGCTGCAGGTCTAGTCCTAGCTTCCACAGTTCATCAAAAATATCTCCAATAGTTGACAAATGTGTTTATCTTTGATTGAGTGAGTCACAGCTGCTATCTTTCGCCAAGTGATGACAGCCGTGGGTCAGTGCTAGGTCAGTGTAGCGGAATATCTAATAATTCCCAGTGCAGTGAACTGGCCACTTAGCTAACATGTGAGGTACCCCTGTGAGATGCCTTACATGTCTTCATCCAGGACTCCTTTTCATAAACCGTCACAGATAATAGAATCTGTCACTGTGGTAGACTTTCTGCTCTCTTCTATATTAACAAATGTTTATGAAGTGCTGAGGACAGTCAGTTCCTTATAAAACATTAATAAGAAGATTTAACACCAGTGAAACGGGAAATCTTGGCAAAAAACACCCCGATCCCCAAAACAAACAAAAAAAAATCAGTTTCCTTTCTCTTCTGTAAGCTTTCACAGCTATTGTCTCCCTATAAACTTGTTATGAGCTTCAGACTTTGCGGAGGAAAGTTCAAATGTTCATCTCCTCTCTTGTACATCTAACCTGCAGCTGTTGAATATGTCGTAAACCATTGCCAGACAGGCACACACAATTGTGACATTCCTCAGCGTGCTCGGTGTGAGTACACCGGGGGGTCTGCCTACATCTGCACATGCCTCCCTGGCTTCTCTGGAGATGGGCGTGCCTGTGAGGGTAAGTAGCACCATTTGTTGTGGGTTTCTTATACTCTTTATTGCACAATTTGGCTGGTCATTGCAATATCCTATAGTTAGTTGTGATTTAAAACAAGAATTTTCATAGTTTAAGTCACTTAGGTGGGCATTGCATTAAGCTTTTGTCCTATCCTGCCCCCACTTTTGGATTCACTCTTCAATATTTGAGCTACAGAATTCCAAGATGAGGTAAATGTGGAAATTGCAGTTAGTAGACCAGATCTTCATCTGCTGGAACTGTTTGCACTGTATTGGTTTATGTTACTAAGATGGTGACACGTGATCCTCAGACTATGTAAAAAAAGTTATGTTCTGTTTCATGTCAATTGGAGTGCAGTGGGGGAGCAGCTTTACCTAATTACATGTTGGAAACCTTGCTGGCCAAATCCTACTTCTCTTGCTGTGTTAAGTCTTTTCTTGAGAAACCTGGGCATATATTTCTAAAATACTGTATGAGTTAACGATGATAGTTACCCATTGGAATAGCAGAGTGTAGGGATTTGCTGAGAGACAGAACCTAAAATACATGCATGTTGGGTATTTTTTTTTTCTCCTTTGCATTTCTCTATAGATGTTCTTCCAAAGGTCTATAATTCTAATCCGATATCCTAAAATAGGAGCCTTAAAGTAATATGGCAGGTTTGCACTTTAATTTGTCACTCTGATTTATCCATCAGGAGGAACAGTTATCTGAGATTGATTGTTTCTTTTACAGATGTAGATGAATGTCAGCAAGGCCACTGTCATCCATATGCTTTCTGCTACAACACTCCTGGGTCCTTCAGCTGCCAGTGTAAGGCAGGTTATCGTGGGGATGGTTTCCAGTGTGTGTTAGGAGGTAAAATTTTATAGTTCTTCAAAGTTGGACCAGAAATATAATGTGGGAGTTGGAGGATATATGTTAATTTGGTTCCTCTCTGGAACAGATTGTGTATTGTCTTAATGGGGTCTTTATTCTTTCTCAAGTCTTTCAAGTTTTGAACTTCACCAAGCTTGTGTCAAAATCTGTATCTTGATATTATCACTTTTCCATGATATGCTGTACAATGTCCTGGTTTATGTTTTGTTTAATCCTCAGCAGTTCTCATCCCCAAGCTGGTACTATCTTTTGAAGTTGCCTTATGTAAAGGTTGACTTGGTTTCCATATACAGTAGTAACTTACCATAAAACATCTAGGTAATGTTGGCAATGTAAATGAAATGCAACAACTACAGGAGAAAAGTGAAGGATGAGAACAAAGTACCTGCGCTGTTGTCTTCAGCAGAATCTAGATGCCTATGTGCCATGAATAGCTGTCAAGAGTCTAGAAGGACTAACTCTGGTTTCTAACTAGCACGTAGCTGTTTCTGCATTTACCCAGCTTGCTCTCTGTTTAGCAGAAAGTTCTTTACCCTTCCACACTTCTGCTCTTGCATGGTAGTTTGGCCCTCGAAGTATAAAACTCCTGTTCTTGAAGGTATACTCAAAAAGAAAGTAAGGAACGAGGACACCAAGTTGTGTGGTGTGGTCGAC